ATGCTAATTTATTATTTATTATTTATTTATTTATTTGTCAAGAATGTATTAGGTAATATATATAAGTATAAGCATGAATTGAATACATAAAATAGATACAAATAGAGGAAACATTAGGCACGCTGGTGCTCTTATACACGCCCCTTACAGACCTCTTAAGAATGGGGTGAGGTCAACAGTAGACAGTCTTAGGTTAAAAATTTGGGGGTTTTGGGATGAAACCACAGAGTCAGGTAGTGCACTCTAGGCATTGACCACTCTGTTGCTGAAGTCATATTTTCTGCAGTCAAGTTTGAAGCGGTTCACTTTAAATTTGTATCTATTGTGTGCTCATGTATTGTTGTGATTGAAGCTGAAGTAGTCATTGATAGGTAGGACATTGTAGCAGATAATTTTATGAGCTACCCTTAGGTCATACCGAAGACGGCGTAGTTCTAAGTTTTCTAGGCCCAGAATTTCAAGTCCGGTGGCATAAGGTATTTTGTTGCGAGTAGAGGAGTGGAGGACTCTTCTTGTGAAATATTTCTAGACACGTTCGATTGTATTAATGTCCGATATGCAGTGCGGGTTCCAGACAGATGAGCTGTATTCAAGAATTGGTCTAGCAAATGTTTTGTATGTTAGTAGTGTGATATTACCGGAGAAGAACCTACGCAAGATTAGGTTTACAACTCTTAATGCCTTTTTGGCGATGTTGTTACAGTGGGCTTTGGCACTTAGGTAATTAGATATGAGTACTCCAAGGTCCTTGACAGAGTGAGGGTCATCTACAAGGTCATGTCCACTCAGCTTGTATTTTGTGTTCTGATTCTTTTTGCCAATGTATAAGACAAAGCATTTGTTGGTTGAGATTTGGAGTTGCCAATTGTTTGACCATTCTGACACAAAGTCAAAGTCTTTTTGAACCTTTAGAAATATAGAATAGAAATGGGCAGCTAAATAACTTTAGCTTAATAAATAACTGTCCATGTAAAATACGTAACTTTGGGAAGCCATCAGTATGTACAAAAACTATGTAAAACTACAAGCAATTTAAATAGATTTATAAATCTATGTGTTTTAATATGGCTGTACACCGCCCTGAGTCCTTTGGGAGAAGGGCGTTATAAAAATCTAATAAACTTCAAACTTCAAATCATACAATGCAAGAAAAGTAAATAAATAACCAAGGCACTGCATAACAATTCCATAAAAAGGGCACATATATTGAGTTCCCCTCATACCCTGGGCCTAACACTTGAGGGAAAAGTCAAGTTTTAACACTCTTCTGGAAGGCCAAGAGGAAGGGGCCACCCAAACCGCAGGAAGGAGGCTGTTTCTTATGGTAGACACTATGACAAAGAATGCATGCCCCCTTGGTTCTGCAGGGTTGTGGGGACCTGGAATCTGCTCACTCCTTTGGATTTGGTGAAATGGGCAAAACTCCCATTTCAGGTAGATAGTCCCCCAAGTAAACTGGCCCTGTGACATTTATGGCTTTAAAGATGATAACCAGCATTTCAGATTGCTACCTGGAAGTCAATGTAGCTCATGCAGTAGCGATGTTATATGGGCAAACTTTGGAGCATTCAAAATTGTGTGCATCACTGCATTTTAGGCCAATTAAACCTTCCAAGTGATTTTTCAAGGCAAGCCCCTTGTAGACTATGCTGCAGTAATCCAATGGAAGGGACTAAGACATAAATGACAGTGAGCAGAACCTCCTGATCTAGGAATAGACCACCCTGACCGTGATTGTCACCTACTCTTTGATTTCAAAACCAGGCACTACCCATATGCCAGCTTCACTCTAAGTAATCACTGCAGTGGCAGAGAATGATATACAATAGCAAATATTTTACTAACATACATATTCTGCATTTTTATCATTCACAATTCAATAAATTCACAAATCTACTTCTATGGTTTTCCTATGTTCTTGAAACTGGCAATCCTATAGTACCATGTAGAAGGTTATAACGTTCTGTAAGATTTATGTCCTACAGTAAATTAAACTGATATCATTTAGTAAGGAATTTATAAATACTGTATAAAATGATTACTTTTGCATTACTATGAATTATTAGCCCTGCTGCCTAGCAACCAGCATCATTTTTTTTTTTGAACAATGATCATTATAAAGGAGTATCTGGAATTTGTGCAAATGAGTTTTCATTGAAGGGCCAAAGAGACACATTCATCTTAGACATCAGACATAGATAATTTAATGCTTTTAGAGAAATAAAGCAGTAGTAACAATTTCTGCAATCATTTTAATAAAAATTTCTCATTATTGCCTTAAGTAAGTCCTGTGAAACTTGATTATGTCAGGCCATAATTCTGTTACCTTCTCTAGAAGACTGGTTGAGTTTTTACAGCAAGTGGAAAAGAATGAGCTCCTTATTCAAGAAGAAATTTGACAATATAAAAATGCATACTGATTCTCCGCTGAAATCTTTTTATATTTTATTGAAGATGGTTAATATAGTGAAATAGCTGATGTCTCATCTCCCAAAGTGGTGGGAAGAGAAAGACTGGAATCACCAGTGTTCCTCAAATTGTCAAGACAGTCACAGATTGGCAATAGTACCTTGAGAATAATAGAAATGCCACTGAGACCCTTCTTTAATTTCCAGAAAAGCTTTAGAAAGGAAAAATGAAGAAGGAAAATCTTAATTTCCCCAAGGACTCTTCTGAGTCCTGTTTTGGGGCCCATTTATATATCCTTGGGAACATCCTGGAATTCTGGTGTTTAATAGGCCAAGTAATAGATATAACAGTATGTGGATGCTCATGAATTGCTTCAGATGAACTAGGAAATTTAGAATTACTATCCATCCATCCATCCATCCATCCATCCACCCACCCATCCATCTTTTTAAAATAGTGACCAAGAAGCAGAACCAATCCCTCTGAGCAATTTATGATTAGTTTGAAGTTTTCTTATTTTCTTCTTATTTGTGTGCATAAATATATGGTAAATTTCCACTCAGAACTGATGCTTGACTGAATATCCATGTTTCCATTCAACCTGTGTATGTTAATTTCAGAAGCACACATGTGCCTAATAGCTTTTAATTACTACAGAATAAGCACATTTAAATAAGAAAGTTAAATAAAATGCTTTTCATTATTTAAAAAAAGTAATGTTTACCATAAGCGTAATTTAAATATGTGTATGGGAAGTAGGGTTGAGATGAGATAATACCTTTTTCTGTCCTTTTGAGTCTGGATTATTGCTTTACTTTGTGTTCCATACAACAAGCAGGACTCATGTATATGTCTGACTTCCCTACTTGTGTTATCTGAACTTTGCCCATCTTTTTTTAATGGTAGTTAAATTAACATTGCCCTAATTGTATATAATCTATTATGTTCCAGAATGCATTTATTACATCCAATCTAGTGGCCCTTCCTGTCCAGAACTGATCCTACAAACAGAATTTACAATTACAGACTTTTTATTTTGTCCAAACTGGGCACTACCACTTTAGTTCTGTGTGCTCGTATATAAATTATATCCTTGGGACTGTTTTTATTTGATGGTTGGCAAATCATCTGAACAGGCTAAATGTTCCTTTTACAAATAGATTCGGTTTGCAGCTTACAAAGAGACAGTTTTGTGTCACTTCTCAAGAGATAGATGCAAACATGAATAAATGTTCTGGCATCTCCATGTGTGCAAGAACCCAAAAGAATTGTAGCTTAATTGCTATAAACCGCTGCAGCAGGCACTTGCCAATATAGTGTATGCAAAACTTCCTTCGTTTTCTTTCTTTCTTTTTTAAATATACACTGCCAAGAAAAGCAGCTGCTGGAGTTAGCTAATACCAATGTTTTATAGGAACTGATATTTTCAAAACCCTTGAAAAAAACATGAAACTACCTGTATTTTATGAAGTCCTACTGTGCTCATTAGTAAGCCACATAAAATAAGCAAGGTTGTCAGGCTTTAGAGACTGACGTTTCTCAGTGGTGGCCTCTAACTATAGAATCCCATCAAGAATGCCCCCAGGTGCTTCAAGTAGCTTCTAAATCTAATCTGGCCTTTATAGTCTCAATATTCATTTTACGGCAGGTGGATTTATTTAGAATTGTTTACATATCGTTAGTATGATTTTATTAATGTAAATATAAATTTAAAAAAAACCTCAAATCTGATCTGGGAGACTTTCAGGCCAAACAGTAAGATATAACGGCTTTAAATAAATGAAAAAAAAAAAATAACTTCAAACAAAAAACATGAAATACATCCAGTCAAAGAAAGAACAACAACAAAATATCCTGCTGCTTTACATGTACCTGTTTGTCATTTATATTTTTTCCTTCAAGTATGCCACTAACAATGGCATTCATATTGAAAGCAATGGCATAAACACGAAGAAAACGAGGCCTCTTCCAAATGATAAATGATTAAATACTTCATCTTCTGAAAGGGATTCTTTTTTGTTAAAAGTAAGTGGCCATTTTATAATCCTGAATAAACGTGTGCCAATAATGCAAATAGTTCAGCAATGAATCTTCTCTGCTGGTTAGGAAGACTGATATGTCATAAACAATTATCTGAGGCCTCAGGACCAAGTATGGGCCTTGAAAACAATTGATGCAGCTCTCAGAGACCTTCAAAAGCTGTTACCAATTATAACTTTTAATGTGATAGAAAGGGAAAACCCTTTGTATACATAACTGCAGACTAAACATATTAGCTGCATTTAATTTTAATTAAATGTAAATCAAATCAAAACAAATTCTTATCCTGTTCCAGCACACTACTTTTTGAGGGTAGTTCTGTGCACATGACCTGGAGGCCAAATGCAGCCTTCAGACCAAGAAAAAGTTGCACAACTTTGTAAGGAGCCATCAATGATGCCCGTGGATCTATATCACATCTCTATTTGGTCCATGAGATTCTTTTATGATCTCTGCAACTTTCATATGCAAAACTATTACAAGCCTGCAATTCAGTTCATTGCCTTTGCACAGATAAGTAAGAGAGAGATAACTCAAGAAAATTCACTTACTTGTATGGAATGTGCTTGCTGCCATTGACAAGGGAAAGAATGACATTGCCCAATGCAGACAATGAAAGGCAGAGCCCAGAACCCCCTTCACGGTTTTTGCTGAGAGGTTTAACACAGCTTCCCAGATCAATGAGATGTAAGCGACTACGGCCTCCTGACACTGTCAGAAAAGAAATAAAAGTGACAAAATAAATGATACCTTGGCATTGAAAGCATGATTTGGGCTTATCCCCCAGAATCTGACTCAAGTCCAGAGGTGGGTTTCAGCAGGTTCTGACCAGTTCTGGAGAACCGGTAGCAAAAATTTTGAGTAGATTGGAGAATTGATAGTAAACATTCTGACTATTCTCTGCCTCCCAAGTCCCAGCTGATCAGGAGGAAATGGGGATTTTGCAGTATCCTTCCTGTGGATTGGGGAGGAAATGGAGATTTTACAGTATCCTTCCCAGTGGTGAAATCCAAATTTTTTTACTACCGGTTCTGTGGGCATGGCTTGGTGGATGTGGTGTGGCTTGGTGGGCGTGGCAGAGGAAGGATACTGCAAAATCTCCATTCCCACCCCACTCCAGAGGAAGATTACTGTAAAATCCTCATTCCCTCCCCACTCGTGGGGAAAAGATATTGCAAAATCTCCATTCCCACCCCACTCTAGGGCCAGCCAGAGATAGTATTTGCAGTTTCTCCGAACTGCTCAAAATTTCTGCTACCGGTTCTCCAGAACCTGTCAGAACCTGCTGGATTTCACCCCTGATCCTTCCCCTGCTACACCCACCAAGCCATGCCATGCCCACCAAGCCACACCCACAGAACCGGTAGTAAAATTTTTTGAAACCCACCACTGCTCAAGTCCTGCTGAATTCTGTTAATTTTTGTTAATATAGTGCTAAAATTAATCAATTAATACTCTACCTCTTGAACAGACAAGGAAAAAGAATAAGCCAAATACATATGAATGACTATGCAACTTTAGAAAAGGTGCTTTGGAATGTGCAAAAACCCACCCAAACGACCCCTTTTTGATTAATTAAAGCAGCTGGTTCTGTTTTTAGATTCAAGTGGTTGCTTTGGAAGCCTCTTCTGACTGTTTCCACATGTTTGCATACATAATAACCAGTTCATTTCCTAGGCAAAACATGGTTTACATCAAAGTCTGAATGGCCGAGAAAAGAGCAGTTTCTGGTACTTAGACATACTTAGGTTCCTAAGGTATTTCACACAACAAGAACTGAAAAGAGGCTGGCACAATCATTTCTAGAAGTGACAGTAAATCACAAAATTAACTGTCTCCTGTTTCATTCTGAACCGTCCTTAGACTCTCAGCATCAATATGTGTACTAGGCCAAAAACAACAATAAGTCTGATCACCATTTCCCATGCACAGCTCTATTAAAAATGCTCCATGATATAATATACTTGTTGCATATTTATGAATCAGATGAATACAAAGCCATCTGAATAATAATGGCTAATCATAGGAGTGGGTGGGAAAACAATGAGACTTACTTCCCCCTTTGCCACTCTTCTCCATTCGATACTGATAGATGTGCAAAGTGAAGAGCATATGTGAATTTTTTTGCTCTTCCTCCTGACAATCTTGCTGACTGCTTCGACGGGAGGCAATTGCTGCATCAAGAAAAAAAGCAGCTTTTTCTGCAGTGGGAGCTCTGAGTTCACTTTGGTTTTGAAGCTGCAAGGTACCCAGAGACATAGAAAGCTTATTGAGATTCAACACTGATAAGTAATTTTCAGTTAACAAAGTCAAAATACAATTTTGCTCTGATTAAGGAACATGCTGTTTTACAGAATATCTACAGCTGAAATGCTTTCAAAGGGGAAAAGTACAAAATTTGATGCTGAATCTACCATCATTGATGCTGGTTACCATGCTTCCTTTCTTCATCTAGGCCAGGGGTGTCAAACTCAATTTCATTGAGGGCCGCATCAGGGTTGTGTTTCACCTCAGGGGGATGGGGTGGGTGTGGCCAAGGTAGGCATGGCCAATTCAACATCACTCATGTCGGGGGTTCCTGTGGTGGCCGGAGTGCTCTGCCAGCGAAAATGGGCTCCTGAGTTCCATTTTCGGTTGGGACAGTCTCCTGCAACACTTTGACAGCTGGCACTGCAGGCTGCTCTTTTGCTGTTTACAGGGTGGCCCCGTGGAACAGATCTAAGCACCCCGTGGGCCAGATCTGGCCCATGGGCCTTGAGTTTGACACCCCTGGTCTAGTGATACTGAGCCTTGCTCTTTACAGCTTCTATTTATCACTATGCTTAGTTATGCCCATATCCACAGTCCTTTGACATCCAAATCACTGCACTGTATATTCAGTTACTTTGTTCTATGAATTACTTTGGAGGATCGCTATTTTTTATTACTTTTTTAGTTCAAACTAATTAAGATATCAATCAGATGGCAAGACTAATTACATCATAATTCACTGAAAGGGCCTGAAAACCTAGCTCTATCAACTGGCTTGGGGTGTCCCCCTTTGGAGGGGGTTAATAGTTTAGGAGAAAATACCACTTCCACCCTGTTTTTTGTACTGGTCCCTTTTATCTTATTTGGGTTAATTTTAATGTTTTAATTCTTACTACTGAAGGTTTTTATTGTTTTAAAGTTCTTCTAGTTTTATACTGTTTTATATCCATTGTAGGCTGCCCAGAATAACTTAATAATGAAATGGGTGGCGCAGAATTTGAATGACTGACTGACTGACTGAATGAATGAATGAATGAATGAAATGTTAGTATATGCTGATGATATATTATATTTTATTGATATTTATGCATATTCTAATATATAACAAAGCTTACTCATATAACCAACATCTTGGAAATTTATCAGGTCAAATTCTTGATTGGAAATTGCCCATAGTTTTCATAATATGAGCAGCTATATTAAAGTTATAAATCAATCAATCAATAAATGAATGAATGAATGAACGAACGAATGAACAAACAAACAAACAAACAAACAAACAAACAAATAAACTGAAACAATACTAATTTGATTAGTAATACTACCAATAGTTTCTAATATCCTTATGAAAATGTGCGACAGATGGCAACTTACTGTAACTATTGGTTAAATTACTTTAAAAACTGTGTATAATAATGATGGATTAAGCAATCTATATGATCTAAAAATCAGACTGATTCACAACACGATTTTCTTTTCCATACTTATTGGACTCCTCAGAGAATGTTCCAAGAGAAATTACCAGTTCTACTATGTTATAATCTAATATGGAGGAGGAACCCTTATCCATATGATATTGAGTTGATCAATGGTTATATTTTCGTTTCAGATTCATAACTGTTCATATGCATACTACACATGAAAAGGAGGCTTGGGAAGATAAGTAGAACAGTGGCGGGGGGGGGGAATCAGCTGTGGCACGTGATCTTGAGAACCTTTTTAAAAACTTTTTTAAAGCATTTTTTAATGCTTTAAAGTAAAAAAAAAAGTTCTGATGATCGTGCATCGCTCAGCTGATCGTCGGAACTTTTGAACATTTTTTTACTACTGGTTCATCAGTATATCGATTAAATATAAGTATATATCAGTTGGGTAAGGCTATTTAGGTCATCATGTCCAACTCCAATTAATACAGGATTATGCCAAGGAATCCAATCCAACAGTAGGCTCATTTCATTCTTCTTGCACTGAAGGCAGGCCTTCACCTCCCTGAGTAACTGATTTCTTTTGAGCTGTTGTTTTCCTGACACTATTTTTATGGTATCTCATCACTGTTGCCACATATTTTTTTCTTGGTCACCTATTCCTCTTTCTATTTCTCCTATGTACCCTTTTAGGTCTTGCTATTTTGTTCTTTTTTGTTTCTCTATCTTTATTTTTCTCATTAGAATTCTTTGTGTTGTGTTTTCACTATCTTTGTGAAGAACCATTATAAACCTTGAGCTTTTTTACCCATTAGTTTTCTAGTATGCAATCCTCTGAATTAAAAACAAAACAAAACAATCAATTTTTGAAGTCCAAAGTACTCATCCTTCTACACTCAATTTCAGTTTTCCTTAAAATCATGAATTCTAGCTTTTTTCTCTTTCTTTGTTTCTTCTCACACATTAATTTAAATTATTAAGACTGTAAAGCATAATAGAGGCCCAAAGCAGGAGATACTTTTTCACACAGGAAGTGTATGGCTTTTTCTGGCAACAAGGCTTATGCAATTTGACCAGGAATTAATTTCCCTCCGCCACACCTATCAGTTGGGGGTTCCTGTCCAAAGAACATATGAGTTATTCTTGGCTTCTTTTCATAACATAGCAATAATTAATAAGTAGCTATTAGTATGTCCTACAACAATACTAATCCTATTACTCTAAATTGTGCTATTTCCACAAACTGTATCTCCATCCACAGGCATATTATTGGCTTCCAGCTTTTGTGCAATATTGTAAATATTTTAATGTGCTATAATATATTGTGAAATTATTATAGGAGGAACGAAAGTTTAGTTTGATCTGAATCCTTTAACATTTTACAGAAAAGAGAGGTTCCTGTTGAACATCAAGTTATGCCAAAGGCACAAATGTTTAGGCTAGGAGAGCGGACAGCCTGCAGCTGCAGGTCATAAAGTTCCTGGTAAGCCTAAAAGTAAACACTTCCAAGCTAGAAAAATGTATGTTTTCGTATTTATTATTATTCAAAACCAACCTTATAAAACAGGGCACTGTGGGTTACATTGTGACACAAAAGAGTTTTATATTCACCTGCATGCCACAAATGGGGTCCTCACTAAGGTAGACACCTGGTGACTGACCATCTTGTAAGCTACCTGTTGCTACCTCTGACAGCAAATCTCTCAGATGTTCTTCTTTTCCCCACACTTCTACTGCAGAGATTCGGACTGAGAAACGTGCTCCTGTTTTCTCTTTTCTTTCATGAATCAGCTTGAAAAGCCAGGAGATGGCGCAAGGGATTATGCCAAGGTTTTGCATGGAATCATCTTTTCCAATCATGGTATACGATTTTCCTGTTAGGAATACAGGAGAAGAGATTAAAACGACACCAAATACATTTACATACGTAAGAAAATGTACAAAAAAGATCAAAATTGCATGCTGTTATTCAAATTTATTTTTTATCAATTTTATTTTTATGGCCCAGACCCCCATTACATAACTATTTGGAATAAAACACAGCTAAAATTGTAAAATGTGACTCCTTTTCATGGATACTGGTAATAGTTTATCAACAGCATCCAGCCAACTGTAAACATGACCTTGAATCAAGGAACAACTTCTCAAAATATTTCTAGACATTAGTGTCCAAAAATGCTAGTAATCCTGGGAATGTAAGCATAACTACTTCTTTTATTCTAAACATTACAACTATTAACTGTTTCTTCTCTACTCAGAATTCTTCCAAGCAATATGATCTACTCTAAAGCTATGCTGAGGGCAAATATACACATCTGTATTTGCTATTTCAGAGAATTAGAAGGAAAACATATCAACAGGTAAAGAAATATCGGTAGGTAAGTATATCATGCAAAATATATATGATACAGTGTAATATTATCTGAATAAAAAATATACTAACCGAGTTTGGCATGTCCAAAACAAAATACACATCCATCTGCACCATTCACCACAGACTGGATCACTTCAGCTACAGTTCCTGCACATACTTCAGCCTGTCATAAAGGAGATATATTTTTTTAATTTTCTGAACACAAATATATCTCTTTTTGGAGCAAGTGGAGAGCCACTGGATGAGATCACAATACCTTGTTCATGGAGGCTAATAAATCAATTATGAAAAAGTGGTTGCTTGACTTGCTTTACTTCCTCAAGAATAAGGATACCTTTGATCTTAACATTGGCATTCTACCATACACTACTCCACTCACCCATCAGAGAGAGTTTGGTGCAATATTCAGAATAGTGAACTAGAAGCATGGAAATATAGGATCAAATCTCTTCTCATTCATGATACTTTTTGTAACTGATCAGTTTCTAACTGTTCTTGGTCTAACTTAGCTAATAGGATTATGTAACATTAAAAGGGGAAAAGAGGCAGACTAGATGCCTACTCAAAGTATCTTGGAGGAATAGGAAATTATCATAATAGTAGGACGCAATTCTTTGCAGAGACCGAAAGAGAACAGGCACTATGAGGCACGGTGGCAATCAGCAGACAGACCAGTGGTGGGTTTCTACCAGTTCGCTCCGGTTTGAGCAAACCAGTAGTGGCGGCGGTGGGAGGCTCCGCCCACCCAACTGGACATCATCACAGATGCTCTGCGCATGCACAGAAGCACCGCACGCGAGCACACACTCTCAGTTCCAAATCGGTAGCGAAGGTAAGTGGAACCCACTACTGAGACAGATAATAGAAAATATGAGATGCTGAAGAACAGAAGGAGTTTTGTGGAAAGAGTTCTGTGGTGCTGATGTTAATGGAATGAAATATTGGCACTGATACCTCAGAAGATTCAAGAATACAAGCAGAAATGAAGAGAAGTGAATTTACAAGCTAACACAAAAATATTGGCTAACTACTGTCACTATTTGTCAATTCTATCCTGTTTTCATCTTACACTGATATTTTTAATATATTTCCATTTATTTTGGAATAAAACAAGTTACACGTTTTGAACTGTTTACAGTTCAAATTTCAGTATGCGTATAGAACAAAATTGTATGCATCATTGATTCAATGCTTCTAAACAGTCAACCTTGAAAATTATGATGGAATGATGCTTCAGGCCTTGTTAAGAATTGCTGCGTACCTGGGATGCATCTTGAGGGAAAACTGCATCAAATACAAACATCTTGGGTGGTACTTGAGTGCTCCTTTTCTGGAAAGCATTCTGGCCTCCAGAAGACAAGGGGTCATATAAAGTAATTTGTTTCTTGCGGGGATCAACTTTTAAGAAGGAACTGGATTCTGAAGAGTCTTTGGCCAGAGTAGAACAAATGCGCAGCATGACTTTCACCTGTTAGCAAAAACATAATAACAATAACGTATTTCATTAAATGCTTTGAAAATAATGACAAACTCATGGGTATTTAAAATGAATATTCTGGCAATTCCAATTCAATATTCTGCTTTCTGTATAAATCTGGCATATCAGAATTAATGACCTGAACCTTTTAAGCAAGTGAGATAAGGTTCCATTTTAAGATTATCACCTTTCTTATGACATGTGTGTATAGGCAAACCACTTTTCATGGGCCAAACTAAAAGAAGATAATGTCAGTGCTGCTGTACTTCTAAATTAACATGAAATTAACAAAGCAAGAACAATAACAGCTAGAAATGGAAAGGTATTTTTCAGTAATCTGAATGTGCACTGCCATCAACAGCAGAATGAAAAAGTCTTCAATTTTAATAATATTTAAAAGGTTCTCAAATTTCTGTACCACAGTAAGTCATATGTACATATGATTTACATTACTGCACAATTTATGGCTACAAATGCTAAAGTAACAGATCAGGTAAGACTTTATAGAAGAAATATGTCTTCAAAATGTGAGACTGAAGTGCCCTAATAATTACACACTATTTAGTTTGGTAAATTAAACAATGTCTTTTCCCACTTCTCTTTTTTTAGACTAGTCTTTTGCTCTCAAAATTATTATATAACTGGATAGCATGGTTCACAGATGTCAATAATTATAATTTATAGTAAGGTCCTGATACTTGAGACTGCTCCAGCAGTTAACATGCTCATCTTCTCCCAAACAGGCAGATGTCAAAGCATACTAATTTTACCTTAGCACTTTATTTTTTATTTTCATCAAATCTAGAATGATGTTTTAAACTAAAGGCAACTGGCTTATTTTTGTTTTAAATTTTAAATTCTGTATTGTTTGTTTAGCAATTGACTGGTATTTATTTGAAACCATAATTCTTAAACAACATGGCAGGAATATGATACAGGGGGACTAAAGCCTTGTGTATTCCTCCTGCCAGTTACTGAGAAGAGGAAACAAGAGAGAGAAAGGGAGGAAGGGGATATATAAACTTCATGCTGGTTTCTATTTCATCCTGTGAATATAACCTTAAATGAATGTTATTACTGCTCCATGTGAATACAGTCAGTATTTCTTAAACAATTCAGATACAAGAACAAAAAGAGGTCAAACTGAAAGACCTTATTATGAATATATACAAAGTATATTGTAAAAATCCTGTGCTCAGGGTCTGATAGGTTTCACAATCATTAATTCGTGTGTGTGTGTGTGTGTGTGTGTGTGTGTGTGTGTGTGTGTGTGTATGGATTTCTTTTTCTCCTTTTTTGTACACTATTTTTTTCTTTTTTGTTGTTGCTAGGGTTGAATGTATGTTTCTATATTGCTTTATTTTGCTTGTTTTGTTTTACTGTTTTGTATTTTATTTTCTCTGAGAAAACAATAAATTAAAAAAGAAAGAAAAAAGCCCATTCTATATAGGGGTACTGATTTGTGGCCTATTAAGAACCAGGCCATGCAAACAGTGGGTGAGAGAGCAAAGTTTTATCTATGCATGCGTGGGACCTAGGTTCATGCGAAACCTCTCTCTCTCTCCCCCCTCCCCAGTCAGTGAAAGACAATTTTTTCTTCTGAAACTGGTCCTTGGTGTCAGAAAGGTTGGGGACCGCTGATTGAGAGAATGTTTCAATCATTTCTTTTAACAAAAAATACCTATCCATTTACCTAACAATACCTACTTGTTTAGGTATTCCAGATTGGATAGGGCCACTTTTGTGTCTCAGAAACAGTCTTTATTTTCTGTTGCTCTCGTGTATTCCCCCCCACCATCGCTTCATTCAATCATGTCTGATTCTTAAAGACTGCCTGAATAAGTTTTTGCAGCTTTCTTGGCAAGGTTTTTCAGAAGTGCTTCACCATTTCCGCTTTCCTGGGGCTGAGAGAAAGTGACTACTCTATTGTCATAGTCAGGTGGCTTTATTCCTACTAGAATAGACTAGAATTCACTGTCTCCTGGTTTCGTGCCTGATGCCTTAATCACGGAATCAAACTGGCTAAATTTGTGATAAAATTTAATGGCTAGCAAAGAATTATATTATTCCATTCATAATGTACCGTATTTTCCGGCGTATAAGACGACCCCTGAATTTTCCTGTTAAAATATAGGGTTTGGGCTATACTCGCCGTATAAGACTACCCCTCTTCCAACGCACACCAAACGAAAATTAAAAAACATCAACTGGCTCACCCACAATGTAAAAGCAGCTGTGCTAGACCCAAAATGGCCCCTGCAACAAGCAGGAACCTCACACAGCCACAAAAAGCCCAAAAAAAACAACTTTCACACTTTACACACACAAAATTCCACATACAGCTTTGTGAGATTTTGTGTGTTTGTGTAGTTAGAGTGAAACACTACAAAAACATACTAAATCTCAGAAAGCTGCACAAATATTATTTTATTTTATTTTTATTTTTATATGAAAGCTAAATTTAAAACTTCCTAAACTTTAAATGGCTAGGTCTAAAAAAGAACAAATAAAAAAAAACCCAATTAACTATTTTTTTTAAAGCTCCCAAAGGGGGAAAAAACTTACCCAATAGAACAGGGGTCTCCAACCTTGGCAACTTTAAGACTTGTAGACTTCAACTCCCAGAATTCCTCAGCCAGCTTTGTTTGGCTGGCTGAGGAATTCTGGGAGTTGAAGTCCACAACTCCCTGCCTGCTTGATTGCAGGCAGGGAGTTGCTTGCTGATGGAATGGATTCAGGCAAGCGAAGCAAGGCAAGCAAAGCAAGGCAAGCAGCTAAGGTAAGCAAGCTGAAGGGGGAAAACTTTTTTTCTTCTCCATGGCTCTGGCGATCCCAGCTGAGTTGCCTGATTAGCAGACCGTCAGAGCTTGGATCGTCAGAGCCATGTGAAAGGAGAAAAGTTTTTTCCTTCTCCATGACTCTGGCGATCCCAGCTGAGTTGCCTGATAAGCAGATCGTCAGAGCTTGGATCGTCAGAGCCATGTGAAAGGAGAAAAGTTTTTTCCTTCTCCATGGCTCTGGCGATCCCAGCTGCGTTGCCTGATTAGCAGACCGTCAGAGCTTGGATCGTCAGAGCCATGTGAAAGGAGAAAAGTTTTTTCCTTCTCCATGGCTCTGGCGATCCCAGCTGAGTTGCCTGATTAGCAGACCGTTAGAGCTTGGATCGCCAGAACCATTTAAGGCTCGTGAGAGCCTTTCGGGCTGGTCTGCCTGGTTATAGGAGAACGACACCCGGCATATAAGACGACCCCCGACTTTTGAGAAGATTTTCATGTGTTAAAAAGTCATCTTATACGCCGGAAAATACGGTAATTCTTAATTGGCTGCAATTACCAAGTGCCACAAATAAAAAGTAGCAAAGAATAAAATCACAATGAACAGAGAATATTATTACAATCAATCAAAATTCTAAAATGTAATTTTATACATCTCTTCTTCCTAGCAAGTCTTAAGAAACTAAGTAGACATTATCTGGCTGCATTATTAAAATAATCTCTGCCCTACTGAAATAAATATTAGAGAATATATAATGTGGTTTTAATTTCCCATAATTGATATTTTGTCTGAAACCAGTTTTCAATACTTTTTTTCTTGACACAAAACACTGAGATTCAGATTTATTTTTAAATTTTGCATTCGGGTAACAAATAGTTTGATACAGCAGTTAAGAGATCGAGCTAGAAATTCAGAAATGATAAATACTAATTCATCCTGGCATGAGGCCAGCTGGCTAACCTTGGGCCAGTCAGTTTCTCTCAGCCCTAGGAAGGGGGAAACCACTTCTGAAAATTTTTGCCAAAAAAACTGCAGGGACTTGTCCAGGAAGTCTCCAGGAATCGGACATGACTGAATGGAAGGTGGGGAAAACACCAAATACTCTAGCAACCATTTGGAATAGTTTTTCAAATCCCCATAACTAGTTGGAAACTTTCTACTGACTCTGGAACTTGCATAGGTCTTTTCTTGTAAGGATTTTATCCTTTTTGCTATTAACTCTCTGAATTACTCCTGAGAATTGTGACGAAGTAGAATATGCTTCTACAGTGTAATTCTGAAGTCTTATATACTGAAGTTCTGCCTGAAGTTCCCTAATGGCTTTTCTTTTCTTTATCCTCTAGCTATTGTCTCAGTATAGAAACCAATTTATTATCATTATGCTTATTGTCAAGGCCCCCCTTTGCTTTCTTCCTCTTGCTCCAAATAGCTGCATATACATATGAAACTATTTCTTAGGACTTTGGACTTTACATGATGCATGAAAACTCACGAAATAATAAATGTGTTGGCTGGTTGCCAGAGGCACTTTGATGGTGGGCTTTTTTTTCAGAAAAAGATCTTAGGAAGAAGAAATAAATGTCTCTAATAGAAAGAACTGTATGTATTATATTTGGTTTTTCTGCATGTCCCATTTTCACCATCTTTGCTTCACCCTGCTTTCATAAAGATGAAAACAAAAGTCTATACCAAAATCTGTTCAGATTTTTGTGCGCTTTGTGTAAAATTTTCCTAGTACAGATTTCTGTCTCCTCCCCCACCCCCCAAATAATTGCAGTACAGGATTTAGAAAAGCGCGAATCCTGAAGAATAACTGTGTTCCAGGAGAAATATTTATCAAAGTTGGAACTGAAAGAAATTTTCTTTCACCGCTACTAATTAATAATGAAGGGATGTGGTGGGTTACTCAAAGACCTTTATCAGTAGTATAAGCAGCTCTACCTAAACCCAAACTGTAAGGTTTCATGTTTGAATTATTTAGCTCTTTGTGTAACACATAAAGCTGGAACTTTCTCTTTGGGCAGGGTGTCTTTTATGAGTCACTAATCCCATCAGTCATTCTGGCACCTTTTATTGGACTTATTTTTTACAGCCAGGGGTTTGGTTAGAGTGGCACTGTCCATGGAGACAGAGGCAGAGCAGAACTATCAAGTTATATTAGCACTCCATCAACATAATGGCAATTGCTGACTACAGGAACAGACTTATTTGAGGTT